ACGTGGGATTCAGGGATTGAGGTACTGGCTCCACTGGAGGTGGGGGTGGTGGTTTAAGGTTTTGAATGTATTGTGGTTTGAGGTATTGTGGGTGTTAGGTGGCACTGGTTGTACTGGTGGTGTTGGTGTGGAGTGGCTCTGACTTGATTGGGGTGGAGGCATAAGCTGTACACTGAGGGTGTAGGGGTTAGTGTATTGGGAGGTGTGGTGTTGGTGTTGCAGTTCATGTTTAGGTTGGGAGGAGTTGGGGGTTGTTAGCAAGTAGAGAGGTTGGTTGGGGTGTGTAAAAATATGGGCTTATCTGTATTTAAGGGTTAGTGTAGGGCTTGGCTTGTATTAGGTTGGAAGTGTATTGAAAAGGTTTGAGTGCTTGTGGGTTGTATGGATTTATGCTGGAGAAGAGGGGATTTGGAGTTGTCTGTCTGGGGTGAAGGAGGGGCTAGGATAGGAAATGGTTTTTGTTGATATACTGAGGTGATAGAGCACCGGGGGTTAGATTGTATAGATAGGGTTGTTGGAGTGGGGCACTTCTGCTTTGATGGTTGTCTGGAGAAGGGGTTGTTTGTTGGTATGATAGGTAGGGATTGGAGTAGTTTTCAACATGACAGATGATTATTTGCTGTATGTTGCTGTGGAGGGTTGAAATTATATAGATTGGAGTTGAGAGGGTTCTTTTGAGAAAAGAGATTGAGAGTAGAAGGAGGTATGTATGGAGTGGAATAGAGAAAGTTAATTGTGTATGTGGGGAATGCTTTGTGGCTGCCTATATGAAGGGTGTTGCATGAGGATGAGGGTAATTGGAAGGGGATGATTTGGTTGTGTAAACAAAAGGCTGCTGCTTGTCCATCTCTTGTCATTCTTTGGGCTCCTTTGCTGCTCTAGACGTCCAGCTACTGAGGGATGACTTGATCTCCTTCTCTGAAGACTTATAGCATCTCTTCCTCTGTTGTGCAGATAGTCTGTGCTTCCTTTGAAGGATTTTTATTTATGATTCATGGGATTTTAGTTTGCATTTGGCATTTCATTTATATTACATGTGTGCTTGCTTTGCTTCTTGTATTTAGACATGGAATTTTATTTACATTGTCTAGATTTCAACATTTGCATTGTTTTTAAAAGCCCTAAATCCTTTTTCTGCTTGACTAGAGCATAGGGTATGTATGTTTAGCTATATCTTGTAAGAAGTTGTGGTAAAAACTTGGCTTGCTGTAGTGCTAGGTTTGGGGGTTCTTGTTGCTGGGGGATTATTTTTGGTTTTTGGATTTTATATGTGAGAGCTCTAGCAGATGAGATGTGGACAATTGTTTTGCTTTGAGAGAATCGGTAGGTTTATGGCAGATCCTTTCCTTCATCTTCTCCCTATCTTTCTCTCTTCCCCTCCCCCGTAGCAGAAATTGTTATATATTTCCTTCTTCATGCATGTATCACATTTTTAGGTGCATGGATGATATTTCTTTTTTGGGTTGCAACAGAGATAGATTTATCTAAATGAGTGCTAAATGCCAAGATCTCTTGATTTTAAAAATCTATGTTTCTGTGGCCAAGTTAGACCTTTTCTGTGGTTAATGTTTATCACCACAAATTCCCCCCGCCTCCCTATCATGCTGCCAATGATCACTCTGGTTCCTACGCTACTGAAATCTTGCTGCCATAAGGTTAAAAATATACAGATGGTATATTGTGCTGATATTAGAAAAAGTATAACCTTTCTCAAGTTGTAGTGTAAAGGAGAGAGACTTCTGATCTGATACTAGCAACTACAGGACTGTGTCTTAAAGGCAGCTTGTTTATGAAAGCATAGTAGGAGTGTTTAATAAATGCACATTTCATGATTGTGTAAATTGTTTTTAGTAAGTGTTAAATGTGCAGTAAATTACTTCTTCCACCAACTCTCTTCTTTGTTTCAACCTGAACCTCTTTTGTTGTGTAGGCAGGTTTATCCTCAGAAGCTTGGAAGAAGAAAATGTGTGTATTTAACAGCAGGGCACAGCTCTGAGATGCTTGATGTATGAAATGCAGGCATTACAGGGTTAGATCCAAACAGTATATGGTAAAGTCATTCTTTGGTTTAGGTAGGTTCATAGGTTTGTTAACCAAACAAAACAGGTTTACACATACTGAAAATATTTAATTTGTGGTCTGATGGACATGAAGGATATCAAATATTTCCCCCTGAAATGACAGCGAGACCCTACATAAAATGTGTGAGAAAATGTTTAATTTATGTATTCTGGATGGTCAGTTTAAATGAAGGAAATCAAATATACCCCCTTCTCCCCCAAAATGACAGCTAGACCTTCCATAAAGTAAAATGCGGGACAATGAAGCACTTTAAAGACTAACAAGATGGTTTATTAGATGATGAGCTTTCGTGGGCCAGACCCACTTCCTCAGATCAAATAGTGGAAGGAAATAGTCACAACCATATATACCAAAGGATACAATTAAAAAAACTTTTCATGTGTGTTCATTTTTTTAATTGTATCCTTTGTTATATATGGTTGTGACTATTTCCTTCCACTATTTGATCTGAGGAAGTGGGTCTGGCCCACGAAAGCTCATCATCTAATAAACCATCTTGTTAGTCTTTAAAGTGCTACATTGTCCTGTATTTTGCTTCAGCTACCCCAGACTAACACGGCTACATTTCTATCAGTATTCTTCCATAAAGTGTGTGTGATCTGTCTCTCTTTCTAGGTGAAAGTTACACAAGAGTTAAAAAACATTCAAATTGAGCAGATGACAAAGCTTCAGGCCAAGCATCAGGGAGAATGTGATCTACTTGAAGACATGAGGTAAGGTTACAGAAAATGCCACCAAATTCCTGTAGGATCTCCTTTTGGAAGACCATTTCGGTTACAAAATACCGGGAACTGACGATGGAATTTCCTCTTGGATTTCCTGCTTTTAGACTGATAAATTTGGACACAGCTGGAAATAACTGGGACTAACACAATGCAAGTAGTTTTTTTTCCTCCACTTCAAAGGGGCAAGTGTACAAATGTGTCATGAACAAATCTAGAAAGCGTAACACTGTTTTTCTTTGGAATAGACTTACAGTTCAAGTCTACTGGGTATGCGATGCCCCTAGTGTTAAAAACATTTAAACAAATATTTTTGTGATACTAGTAATTTTATAGTTAGCTATAGGACATTTTAAACTGCATTCACTACATGGATTTAATGTTTTGTGCAGAAAACAAAAGTAAAAGTACTTGCATTAATACTTATAAAACCCTTTTTTACATAACATTGGACATTGAAATCAGTAGAAGAGTACTACGTGTTTCAAATGGCAGTTTCGTTATTTATATAATGTGAATGTTTGTCTTTAATGTGTATGTATTTTATGATCAAAGCATCACTGGGAACTAATGGGCACCTGGAATTATGTGGAGAATGAATCACTAACCTGGTTTAGAAACTGTCACGTTCTATAGTGGCCTTGCTGTGACTTACTCAAGTGACATCAATGTATCTGTTGCTGTCCTTTTGGTACCTTTTACTTCATGCAGTAACTGAAAATCTAGTAAGATTACTCATCGGTAGAGATCAAGTGAAGTTGCAACTCAAAGATCTGTCTTCACCAGAGATTAGAATGCTGTGAAATTCATATAGTTTGTCAGTCTTCTTAAATCCCATGTCAATAAAACTTATCAGATCCAGAAATGCATGCACTTTCCATCTTTATCTGAATCTCTCTTTCATGGTTAGTGAAACAAGCTTGTATATGGAAAGAGCACCACAACTGTTTTCTTACAAGTAGTGGTGCTATAATATTTGCAAAGTAAATACTGGTTAATGAGTAGCATATTGGTATGCAAGGACTTTTTTCCTATAGATAGGAACTTAATTCTGTTACATCAGTACCTGATAGTGTTGCTTTAGTTCAGGTTCTGTCAGCATTTCCTTTATACAACCTTATTTTCCGGGGTTTATAGGTCAGGCATTTATGCTTGTTCTCTGTTGAAACATCATAATCTTATCTGTAGCTACAAAAAAGTTGGGAGAGAGCAGGCGAAAGTTTGGATTAAAATGTTTTCTTGAATTGATATAATTTTTAAAATGTTAGTGTTACAATTAAGAATCTTGAATTAAAAGTCTGCATGCATTTGCATGCATAGATTTTCAGATTAAACATTCTTTAAACATCCAGTGATTGATCTGTCATTTCAAGTATCTGTTGGAATATCAAATGAAGTGAATAAGGGGCTTTGTTTGAACGCCAAAATTGCTTTGGTTATAACATCAACTGTGAACGTTGCATATTCCAGCAGACATTGATTTCTGGAAGAATTCTGAAGTATGGTGATGCAGGATTGAAAGTCAGGGTGTGTTTTGCAAATGAAAATGTGGTGGCAGAGGATATCTAAAAGAATACTAAATATTGCAGGTACAATTTACTAAATGCAAACCAAAAAGCTGTCAGTCCCTCAAGGCTTTTGTTCAGGATTTTTTCTTCTGTAACATTTTGGAAATTCAGAGTCACCTACTGCAGGCTTTGTGTACACTGGCAGATGTAAAGTGCTGTCAATTACAGTGCTGCTCACAGAGTGCAACCATGAAAACTCTGTTACGTGTCCACACTGTCAACTGCCAGTGCAGTAATGTGACCATACTTGTGGCATTTGCACAAATGTGTGTGTGTGGGGGGGAGGTGCACTCTGAGCAGCTATAGCACCTTCTGATGCTTATGGGCTCGTTGTGATGCATCCTGGGCCCTGTTCCAAAGACCCATGGTGCATCACTTTGCATGCCAGCAGTCCCTCTGCTTCCATACACATTTGACGCCATCTTTCGATGGCTGTTGTGCTGCGCATTCTGTCTTCTCGATCTGCAGGAATGGATCCTGACCTGTTGAAGAAAATGCTGATAGGTCTCCCTAACACGTCATGAATGGCAGTGGAGTTATTCCTTAAGCTGCAAAATGATGCTGAGTCAGACATTGAGCAAGCATAGTACCTATGACATGAGATTTTTTTGTGGCATTCACAGAGATGCTGACAACAGTGGAATGAGTACAAAAGTGGTATTAAACAGAACTGAATGGTGGGGTCACATTTTCATACAAGTCTGAGATGACAAGCTGCAGAACTTGACAGTGATGTGCTTGCCCTGGTCTTGAGATGCAAGGACACAAGAATGAGAGCTGCCCTTTCTGTCAAGAAGCACGCGATGATTGCACTGTGGAAGCTGGTTGCTCCAGACAACTACTGATCGGTTTTCAATTAGTTTGGAGTTAGAAAGTTGACAATTGTATTTGTTGATGGAAATACATGCAGGGCTGTCAGTTGGGTTCTGCTCTGAAAGATTGAATCTTGGCAGTATGCGTGACATTGTGAGAGGCTTTGCACAGATGAGTTTCCCCTAACTGTGAAGTAGCGATAGATAACCTGCATATTCCAATTCTAGCACCAGATCAACTACCTTTTGAGTACATTAATCAGAGTACATTGTCTCAACGACCTAACTACATGTATCCTGCTTCAAAGGGAAACTGTCATTCATGCTTAAATTTGACACTTTACAAATGTGCTTTAACAAAGATGTTAACTAGCTTCCCCAATTATCACCCCTAATATTATCTCAGACACTAACCTCCCCCCTTCACCGTTCCCTCTGTTCTAAAATCTGATTTATCAGTTTTATGTGTTCACTTTTTTTATTGTATCCCTTTGGTATACATGGTGGTGCCAATTTTCTTCCACAATTTGATCTGAGGAAGTGGGTCTGGCCCATGAAATCTCATCACCTAATAAACCATCTTGTTAGTCTTTAAAGTGCTGCATAGTCCTGTCTTTTGATTAATCAGAAGGGGTATTTCTCCCTGGTTCTTCAGGAGTTTGTGGATCACTGTGGGTGTTCTATGGACATGAATGCAGGTTAGCAAGATGCATGACACACATCTTTCAGAACACTGGCTTGTTCGAGTCTTCAAGTGGAGACTTTTTTCCCAGATCAGAAGATCACTGTAGGGGAAGTTGAAATGCTCACTGTGATCAGTGGAGATCATGCTTATCCCTTACTGCCATGGCTCACGAAGCTATACACTGGGAGCCTTGATAACAACAAGGAGCCGCACAGCAACAGGCTGAGCAGGTACAGAATAACTGGGGCGTTTGACTATTTAAAAGCCAACTGGCAACGATTGTATGGGAAGCTGGATCTGGTCAATAACAACATCCCTATGGTTATGGCCATATGTTTTACCTGCCGTAATATTTGCGAAAGGAATGATGAAAACTTCAGTCAGGACTGGCTCTGCCTTGAGCAGCAGTCGGGAACCTAACGCTTGGGGGCTGGATGTGGCCCCTGGCTTGCCTGGAACTGGCCCCCAAGTTTTGGGGCACCCCCCAGCATTGGGGAGCCTGTGCTGGTGCTCCAGCCCCCCTGCCATCCCTTCAAAGGGTTGGAGCGCACAAAATCTGCTATCCTGGAACCCCCCCCAGGCTCTAGTGTGCGAGGAAGTGTCTTTATCCTTCTCAATTGAGGGCCACATCACTGAGGGTTTTTGCTTCTCACTTGTGTGTGGCCCCTCCAACTGATTTTTTCTGTGGGTTAGAGCCCCGAGCCAAAAATGGTTCCCCACCTCTGGCTTGGAGGAGCAACCTGAGACCAGGGCTATTAGAGGAGCACTGCACAGGACCATAAGGATGAGGGATGCTTTAAGAAGGAAACAATTTAATGCTGATAATATTTGTTGTCATGCATAGGAGTGCAGTGGCTGTGATGCTGATGGGTTCATATGATGCGCTTAATACAAAAATGCCGATACTTTGCTGGTGTGTGCATGCTTGCTTACATATAAGGGAATAAAGATTGCTTGCAAACTCAAGAATTTCATTATTAAAATAACAAGTAGAAAACACATGCAGCATGACAGATCTGTAGTGTGTGTGGAGGAAGCGGAGGGGTGGGGGAAACGAGGAGCAAGGCCCCGGTACATTTACAGATGTTATGAAGTCCAGTGCCTTGGTGTGGTTCCAAGTAGGGGGTCTCCTGGTCCATGGAACAGGTGTGGTCACCTGGAAAGATGTGCTGAGAGCATGCCATGCATCACTGAGCAAATGTGCAGCCCTGCTGTCTGATGTGCTGTGCAGTGGGGTGCTGCAATTCAGCAGGGCTCAACTGCATGGGAACAGGGGTTGAATGCTTTGGGTGCCTGTAGGAGTCTGCAGAGCTGGAAGGTGAAGGAGGCAGTATGGAGTACAGCAGGTGCCAACTGGGGACAGGATGGTGGCTAAAATGTGGTGGTACTGAGACGGGGCTGCATGGAAAACAGTTTTGACACAGCAACTGCAGGAGGGGGTGGTTGCAGAGCTGCTCCGTCTGCAGTGCTATCAGCACCTGGAGCATGTCGATTTGGTGCTCTATAATGTTTAAGAGTTGCTCCAAAGCTTTGTCTTGGGGGTTAGTGCTTCAATTCATTCTTTTCAACAGCAGCCTGAAGCATAACTTCTCACATCAAGTCATCTTTATTTTTTCAAGGTTGCTTCCTTGCCCTGTGCAGCTGTGGAGCTGACAATAACAAGGAGGGCTGGGATCCCAGGGTTAAATATGTGAAGCCAAAATGCAATATTTTACAAAGGGACCCTTCTTAACACTAAACAGAGCACAGACAGTACCCAGCTGAAATACAAATACTGTTCACATACCTATCACTGACAGGCTGTCCTAAGGCGAGCGCATGAAGACTAACAAAATGGTGACCACTATGGACAAGGGAATTCATTGGTGTGGTCTGGCCAGGTATGTCTTGGGGAGAGCCAGCACTTTAGGGAACCCTACGCGGAAT